GACTATAGAAACCACACCTGGACTATAGAAACCACACCTGGACTATAGAAACCACACCCGGACTATAGAAACCACACCTGGACTATAGAAAGTACACCTTACCTGGACTATATAAACCACACCTGGACTATAGAAAGTACACCTGGACTATAGAAAACACACCTGGACTATATAAAGTACACCTTACCTGGACTATAGAAACCACACCTGGACTATAGAAACCACACCTGGACTATAGAAAGTACACCTGGACTATAGAAACCACACCTGGACTATAGAAAGTACACCTTACCTGGACTATATAAACCACACCTGGACTATAGAAACCACACCTGGACTATAGAAAACACACCTGGACTATAGGAAAGTACCCCTGGACCTGTCATTCTGTGTTTGTCCGTTTCTCCTTCCTGTCCTCTCAAACCCAGCCGGTTGAAGCAGGTGGCCTCTCGTCCTGAGCCTGGTTCTGTTGGAGGTTTCTTCTTGTTAAAAGGGAGTCTTTCCTTTCCACTGTCTCCTTTGTGCTTGCTCAGGATGTGAGACTGTGGTGACGTGAAGATTCAACACAATCTGCTGCTTCCTTAGACAAAGAAGTTTTACTAACTGGCTTTTATAATGAATGTGAATGTTTCTGTCCAGTGCCCTGAGACAACTTCTGTTGTGACTTGGAGCTACAGAAATAAATAAACAGAAATTAAATGAATTTACTTTGGAGCGAACAAAACTGGAACGTGGGCTCAGAGTTCCTTCAAGTCCTTGTAATTCACCTTAACCTGATTCAAATGTCTAGTTTTAATCCTTTTACATTATTTTAAATAATTATATTTAATTTCTAATGTGCATGTGTGATGGTGTGGGGGGGGGGGGGGCTCAGAGTAGAGCTGCTGCTCCTCCGCATCAAAAGGAGTCAGCTGAGGATGTTCATCTGGTTAGGATACCTCCATCTGGAAGTTTTCTTTGAACATCCCACTGGAAGAAGACCCTGGAGAAGATCCTGGACTCCCTGGAGGGATTGTGTATCTTCTCTAGTCTGCTCTAGGAACACCTCAGGGTCTCCCAGGAGGTCTGGGTTTCTCTCCTGAACCTGTCGCCTCCGTGACTTTACAGATAAACGTAAAGGATGGAGATGGTTACCAAAGTTGTGGTCTGGACCTTACTGTGGGTCATGAAAGACCAAGTGAAAACAAAATAACCATAAAAATACACCTAATGCAGATTTTTACCACTACTTTACCAAAGACTTGATTAAATAGCCATGACACTATAATTCTAAAGAGTGTTTGAGTTGCTCCTATTAATGCAATAGAGCGTAGGCCTGTCACGATAACAAATTTTGCTGGGCGATTAATTGTCTCATAAATTATTGCGATAAACGATAATATTGTTTGAAATTTGACAATTAGTAATTATTGTAAAATTTAAGAAGAAATGCAGGTACATTTTTGAGTGTAGTACCTTTTCTGACCACTGGATGACAGTATAAGACTGTTTGAACTGAAGGATGGATAGTGAGGGAGCGAGCAGCGCGTCTCTTTAAGAAAAATGGGAGGGAGGCCCCTTGACGTGACATGGGCTGTCCTCAGTTCTCAAAATGGCGGACGCTCGCTGTGGTTTGAGCTCTTTAGCATAGCATTTTTCACACAAAGCTTTTAATAATCAGTAAACAAGTTCTCAGCTTCTTTTTGCAGAGAAAAAACTTTTTACACAAAGGCACGAGTTTCAACCGTGAATTTTGGAGCTTCAACAAGACGGATGTCTCCCCCCCCCCCCCAGGTCGGCCTGTTAGCTTAGCTCCTAGCTCAGCGTAGCTGCTTTTAACGATCCAAAAATGCGATTTTGGACGGTTAAAACAGATTTTAAAGAGAACAGCGAAAGGGAGGGGTCGGTGAAGAGCACCGGAGTTGAACCTTTTGTCATCCAGTGTCTTCAGTAGAAAGAGAGAGACACGAAGAAACGATAAAGCCGACAAATGAAAACGACGTCCATAATTTTCATTTATCGTGCGATTAATTGATTTATCGTTTATCGCGACACGCCTAATCGTGAGGGAAATTTGGAAATCGGCCTTCAGTCTAAAACACTTACGCTCCTTCTTGATTTTCTCCGACACCAGGAACTCGTCCCGTTCGATGCTAGGGGCGTAGTTACTGCCGATGACCCGCACCGCGTACTGAAACTGGTGGGCGACTTCAGCTGGAGACAGAAGGAAATATACCGGTAACAATCAGCGGGAACAGGCAGCTCTTTCATGCAAATTACGTAAAACAACCAGACTTTACGCACACGATTAACTTCAGAAAGCTGCAAATACATTCAACCTTTATTTATGCATTTATTTCAGGGGTGCACCGATTTCTACAAAGCCTGACCTGACGATTTTAATTTACAAGCGACACCGTCACTTGTTATAAAGACACAACGCATCAGCAATCCTCCAATATTGTTTCATTGAAAAACACACCCTTGAACAATATCCTAGAAACAATACAAACGTGTGTAAACTGGCCATGACGTAGTGCTCTGAAATATAAATGAAGTTTAGAGAAATTATTAAAACTACAAAAAAAAAATAATCGGTAAAATCAGTTTCTAGTATAAATATCGGCCGATCTCCCAAAATTAAGGAAATCGGGGACGATAAATCGGGCAGCCAATTTATCGGTGCACCCCTAATTTATTTATTCATGCAAATGCATTTGCTACTTACTAGGATCTCAGTTTTATTGAAGAATTGCTTTAAAAAAAAAATACATTTAGAGTGAGAATCAGCCCGAACGTGTTGCAGAGGACAGCTGGCCACGCAGCTCCCAAAACAAGACTTTGATTCAAATCAATCCATCTCACATTAATTACTATTCACAGCAAAACAACTAGATGGGATTAAATATTATACGTATTACAACTAATGTCCTAAAGGATAAGCATCCTGCTTTCACCGCTGCAGTGAAAAATGATAAAAACCGTTAAAATAACTAATAATTAAAGTTGTTTGATGATATCATTTCACGCCGAATTTTCCATCTACTATAAATTATTCAAACTATACATTTAAAGTGAATAAAAAACAGGTGTAAAAGGTAATGCGAATAGAAATGTTGAAAAATCTGGTGTTTCTGAGCAAGGTTTGGTTCGGGGTTTCCCCGATGGCGCGGGCGGGGTTAGCGTTAGCGGACGTTACCTTCGCTTTTCCCGGTTATCCTGCAGCAGAGGCTCTGCAGCAGGACGTTGGGTGATTTCTGGTCCAGGCTCGCCATGACGCCTGCAGTCACCGTACCGGCCGCCCCACGATAAATGAGTAAACCCTGCAGAAGAGTATGGACTAACTGCAGCGTACCGCCGCTAGCGACGCCATTTTGGCAGACTGAGTGAAGCTAGCGAGACGCAGGAAGAACGCAACCGGAACTAGTGCTGCTCTCCCTTCAAAGTAAGAGCAAACGAAAAAAAACAAATTTACAAACCAGATCCAAAATAATAGTAAGAATGAAGCAAAGAACATAACTGAATAAAACAACTAAAATAGGACACTAACACAAAATAAAAAATGAGTTTTGACATGTTAACAGAAAGATCTAAAATAATCATTATGAGAACTTTTAACGATAATTAAAAATAGTGATGCTAAACTTAAACATAAAACTTCTGCTGTTTGACACAAATTTAAAAATGTTTCTGGTTTGTGTAGCATATTTAAGCAAAACTTTGTAGATCTTTGCAGGACAAGTTAAATGTATGATAAGAGTAATTTTGTAATCAAATTGTTTTTTAATATTATTGTATAAGAAAACTGCCACAAAAATGCCGGTTTGCCATTATTTAAAGGCAACACTCTGCCTAAGAATTTCAAAGCCTTTTTGTGTTTAATTATTTATGCAAAAGCATTTTATTATTATAAAAACATGTAATTATTGCTTAGAATGAGTCTACATTTATTAAAAACTATTGTTCTCTGGGAGAGGTAAATTGCAGGTGGCTTAAGTAATTATTTGTAAAATAATTTAAATGTTAAATTATGTTGGTATTTATTAATGCCAACAGTTCTAAAAAAAAAGGAAAGTTAAGTCTGGTCCTCTGGACATTAAATAAACAAAACAAAACAAAAAAAAAAAAAGTAGAAATGTTTCATCTTTCATCCAAAAGACTTCTTCAGTCTGATCAGTCTGATTTAGGATAAAAGACGAAATGTTTCTACTTTTTTTAATTATTATTATTATTATTTTTTTTTTTTTGAATGTCCAGAGGACCAGACTTAACTTTTTTTTAAAGATTTTTCTACCTGGGTTATTGTTGAGCATGCATCAGAATGTCAATCAATTTTCTCTTATTATTATATTAGTTTGATGGTTTTAATTAATTAAGCACCAACAGTTAAACAAAACAACTTTAAATGATCATTTTATTAAATTTATTTAAACAAACTTGAGAAAATAGAGGCTAAAAAATTAAACTAACGGAAAAATGAGCCAAATTGTCTGGAGAACCCTTTTTTTTATCCAAATAGTTTTCAAACGAACGTCTTGAGGATTGATTTTACTTTGAAAGCAACAACAGGAAACAGTTAATGTAACTGTTGCTGCTTTGCATCAATGATTCAAGCGGACGCGCGGAAAGCGTCTCCAGGAAACAAGCGACGGACAAACCGATGAAAACATTTCCCCCCCGAAACTAAGAGGCTTGAACTAGAGTTCCGAACCGTTCGCTCTCACAAACGGTTTCATTAAATTTTTATTAATATATTTCAGCCGCGAATAGTTATAGTTAGTAGGTTTAATATACTCAAGGAGCAGCTTTAAATAAATAAACTATGCTTGTTTGGATCATTTTAAACTCTTATTTTGTTAATTATCAGGAGAAAATAATGTTTAAACTGAACTCGTGAGTGGCTCAGCAACTTTTAAGTGAACGCCACCTTTATTTAAAACAAGAAAACAACTTAAACCACAAAAAAAAAAACGTTTTAATTGTGAATTTTGAAGCAAGTAGAACATTACTTACATGCCTTTTAATTATCCTTTTAATTACCATTTTATTTTTACTTGTTAAAAAATAATAATAATTGTATGCATCCTTTATGATTGTCTATTGTTATCCACTGTTGTCGTCACTCTTTGTTAAAATCAGGGCTCTCTTGTAAATGAGTCCCCCAGTATAAATAAAGGTTGAATAAATTACACTATATTTGTCTTGCTTCCATAGCTATGAACTATGTTTTATATTAAAACAATTCGATTTTGTTGCCACTTTTAATTTGTGACATAACACAAGTAAGGGAAAAAAAATGCCTGAAAACATTAAAAAATATTTTAATTTCCTGACAATATAAGTTTGTAACAAACTTCTAAAAAGGTTTTAAAATGTCTGCAGTAATAAATAAATAAATAAAACACAATAAGTCTTAAAATACGACCAGAACTTTACTTGTCTGGGAACTTTATAAGATATTAATGAGTTCTAATTGACTTTTAATGGATTAATTGGACCACACACAAAAAATAAAAACACCAGTGCGCATGCGCTCACCTCCAGAGCCACCACCTGGCGGCGCGTGACGTACTTGAAAGCAAATCTCCTTTTGGAGAGCGGCGCGAGACAAGCAGATTATCAGTCCACGCGCACTCGAGCGGCGGAGCGTGGGAGGAAGAGGCGGAGGACCCATGAAGACCCGCAAAGCGCTGTGAAGAGGCGCCCACGGGACCGTGGTGGGGTGGGGAGGGAACCGGACCCCGAACAGGTCGGGAGCAGGTTCTGTTCTGGTCGGACCCAGCCCTGTTTGTACTTCAGGAAGAAGGAGAACATGGCATGTTCAGAGGAGAAAGCAGAAGATCAAAGGCTTTAAGCTGCAAACCGAGGAAGGAAACAGGATGGGGATGGACCTCAGCACGCTCCGGACCCTCATCAGCAGATATGTGAGTTCCTTTTTATTTATATTTTTTATCTTTAACCTTCCTCTTTGCTTCAATCTGAAAAAAAAAGAAGCGGCTCCATTTCCAGAACAAACAGTTTTAAGTTCCATGGATCCGCCTGAAGTTTCCCTCCCCGACACAAACTGTAAATATCTGCACAGGAAGTTCCTGATTCTCCTCAGACTCCTCCTTTAGGTCCCACAAACTTACCAGAGGTCTATCCAGGCTACATCATTTATCATGAAACACTCAATTTAGGGTCCTGTACGCTAATTAAGGCTCTTATTTCTCGTTTATTTACTAAAATAATTACAGACTAATTATAATAAACAAAGTAGCTGCAAACTGACTTGTTTTTATTTATCTTCCTGTTTGTGAACTTCACCCTGAGATTTCTGCAGGAACAGAGAGGTGCGGCTGACGGTACCTGTCGGGTCATGACAGAACCTGCAGAAAATGCAGGCTGACAACAGTTACCCCCCCCCCCCCCCCCACACACACACACACACATGAATTATGTAATCCAGTTGTTTTCTTCCTGCCAGACAAATCAATGGGCAGCGCTGGAGCAGGCGGCCGGGTCCAGATCCAACAACGAGCCCTGCACCCTGCCTCCATGCTCCACAGGGGATCAAACCCGTTGACTGATGGGTTTGGGATAAACATCCATCCATCCTCTTTACCCGTTTCTTCTCTTTCGGGTCACTGGTGTCCATATCCAGTAATCGCTGTACGAGAGGTGGGGGACACTGTGGACATGTCTCCATTCCATCACAGGGACACAACGAGACAAACAACGCATTCACCCACTGCAGGGTTCCCAACTCTGGTCCTTGAGGAACACCATCCTGCATTGTTTTTAGTTGTTCCCCTGCTTTAACCCACCTGATTTGAATAAATGGTTGATTAACAGACACATTCTCAGTACTGAGGGCATTGCTTCGGTCGCTTGCAGTGAATGAAGCATCAAGTCCACGTCCTCAGTAATGAGGTAATTGCTTTGGTTGCTTGCGGTGAGTAAATTGTCAGGTTCACGTCCTCGGTAGTAAGGGCGTTGCTTCAGTCGCTTGCAGTGAATAAAGCATCAAGTCCACAGCACGTCCTCAGTAATGAGGGAGTTGCTTTGGTTGCTTGCAGTGAATGAAGCTTCAAGTCAACGTCCTCAGTAATGAGGGCATTGCTTCAATCACTCGTGGTGAATAAAGTGTCAAGTCCATGTCCTCAATAATAAGGGTGTTGCTTCAGTCGCTTGTGGTGAAGAAAGTGTCAAGTCAACGTCCTCATTAATGAGGGCATTGCTTCGGTCACTTGCAGTGAATAAATCATCAAGTCCACGTCCTCAGTAATGAGGGAGTTGCTTTGGTTGCTTGTGGTGAATAAAGCTTCAAAGGGCGTTGCTTTGGTTGCTT